TGGTCGTAAGTGTGAATAACCGTCATAAGTCACTTTTTTCAGTGCCGTTGTAACTTTGACCATGGGAACGTGGGTGTGGTCGTAAGTGTGAATAACCGTCATAAGTCACTTTTTTCAGTGCCGTTGTAACTTTGACCATGGGAACGTGGGTGTGGTCGTAAGTGTGAATAACGGTCATAAGTCACTTTTTTCAGTACAGTTGTAACTTTGACCATGGGAACGTGGGTGTGGTCGTAAGTGTGAATAACGGTCATAAGTCACCTTTTTCAGTGCCGTTGTAACTTTAACCATGGGGACGTGGATGTGGTCGTAAGTGTGAATAACGGTTATAAGTCACTTTTTTCAGTGCTGTTGTAACTTTGACCATGGGAACGTGGTGGCGGTCGTAAGTGTGAATAACGGTCATAAGTCACTTTTTTCAGTAAAGTTGTAACTTTGAGCATGGGAACATGGATGTGGTCGTAAGTGTGAATAACGGTTATAAATCGCTTTTTTCAGTGCCATTGTAACTTCGAAAGGCCACTAAACAAATGGTTGTAAATCGAGGACTACACATAGAGTAGAGTTTCTCAGCTGTGGGCTTCAGGGATCACCATGCTGCCTGGGGAATGCTGGGAGTTGAAGTCCACACACCTTAAAAGCTGCCAAGCGGAAAAACACCAATCCCCAAATGGGCCACAGGGGAGATTTTTCTCGGGGGGGTGGGGAGGAAACCTACAAATTTTTCAATGAAAATATCGATACGTGCAGTCCGCGACTTAATCAGTCCATTTAGTGACTGTTCGAAGTTACGACGGCTCTGAAAAAAGTGACTTCAGGACCCATTTTTCCCACTTGCGACCGACGCAGCGTCCCCACGGCCACATGATCAAAACTCAGACGCTCGGCAACAGACTCATATTTATGACGATGTCCCGGGGTCACGCGATCCCCTTTGCCGACTTCCCTGACAAGCGAAGACCACGGGGGAAACCCGATTCACTTAACAACCGCGCTCCTAACTTCGCAACGGCACTGACTCCCTTAATCGCGGCGGCAGGAAAAGTCACAAAACGGGCGGCACTTAATCCCCGTTTCGCCCGGCAACCTACATTTTGGGTGGTTTAGGAGGCTTGGGTGGGAGCCGGGTTCGAGTCTCCCGGGTGGACACGAAGGGGCTCACCCCTCCCTCTTTCTGTGTGTCGTGTCTCGCAGGAGTGTGGGCCGCTGGAGTCGGAGGCCATGGTGATGGGCGTCCTGAGTGAGGCTTTTGACGTCCTCGTGCTGCGGTTCGGAGTCCAGAAGCGCATTTATTGCAACGTGAGTCCGTGCGATTCCCTGGCTGGCAGGACGGGGGTCCTGACCCAGCCTCCCCCCCCCCCCCCAAACACAACAAACCCTCTGTAATGAATCAACGATCCCCTTAATTTGGAGCACCGGCAGCACCGGCAAAACGTTTCTCCTCTGCCTTCTGCGAATCCGCATGTCAGGCGCGTAGATTTCCACTGCTCTCCTCTCCTCTGCCTTCTGCGAATCCGCATGTCAGGCGCGTAGATTTCCACTGCTCTCCTCTCCTCTGCCTTCTGCGAATCCGCATGTCAGGCCCGTAGATTTCCACTGCTCTCCTCTCCTCTGCCTTCTGCGAATCCGCATGTCAGGCCCGTAGATTTCCACTGCTCTCCTCTCCTCTGCCTTCTGCGAATCCGCATGTCAGGCCCGTAGA